AAGAAGAAAGCAAGAGATAAAAAGAGAGACATACAGAAAGACAGACAGACATAGTCACAAGACCTGTGGATAAGACTTACAGTGCAGCATTATTTTTTAACAGGGAAAATCTGTGGATGACCTAGGTATAAATAATAAAAAAGTGGCCAATAAAAATAACATTGTTAAAGAATGTTTATGCTGGTTTATGTGAAGTGAAAAAATTTCCCATATGCTTACAACCAAAAAAAAATCAAACTTACCGCCATTGAGTCAATTCAACTCATAAGTAACCCCCCCTTGGGTTTCCAAGGAAGTATCACTACGGAAGTAGATTGCCCGACCGTCCTTCCGAAGAGTGGCTGGTGGGTTTGAACCGCCAGCCCTCTGATTAGCAGTCAATTGCTTTAGGCACTACGCCACAAGAGCTCCTACCAGACCTTAGTGAAGTTAAAAAAAAAAAAAAAAACATGACTCAACACAAGAAAAACCCTGTATCTGCAAACATAGCATGGCTTAAATTTTGTTAAACACATGCATGTGCAAGGAGTGCTAGTGGCACCGCCAGTGGTTGAAGCATTGGGCTGCTAACCAAGAGTTTGGGGGTTCAAATTCATCTAGCTACTCCAGGGTAGAAAGATGAAGCTGTCTGCTCTGTAAAGGTTGTTGTTGTTGTTATGTGCCGTCGAGTCAGACCCGACTCATAGCGGCCCCTCCTTGGGTTTCCGAGGCAGTATCACTACAGAAGTAGATTGCCCCATCTTCCTAAAGGTTACAGCCTTGGAAACCCTATGGGGCAGTCCTACTCGTCCTCTAGGGGCGCTGTGAGTCGGAATTGACTGACAGCAAGGGGCACACACAGGTGCGCAGAGACAATGTGGTGCAAAGAAAGTTCCCTGTCTCTGGGAGATGTTCATATTCTTCTTTGTATTTTTCAGAAGATTTTTTATCTACAATCAATATTTATTATTGTTATAGGCCAAAGCAATAATTATTCTTTATTTATACAAACACAGAATAATAATGCATGTTGTTGTTGTTTGCCGTCGAGTCGGCCCCGACTCATAGCGACCCCTCCTTGGGTTTCCAAGGCAGTATCACTACGGAAGTAAATTGCCCAACCTTCCTTCCGAGGAATGGCTGGTGGGTTTGAACCGCCTACCTTCTGGTGAGCAGTCAAGTGCCTTAGGCACTATGCTACCAGAGTTCCTAATAATGCATAGCATTGTGAATGTACTAGATGCCAGTGAACTGTACACAGACACAGTGGTTAATTTTATGTTATGTGAATTTTGCCTCAATTAAAAAAAATAAAAGACTAGGGGAGCTCCCAGGAGGAGCGGGCCAGGCTGAGTCACCGCCCTGCTCCAGCCCTCGTCTCTGTGAGTGGGAAACTACTGACTGGATATCCCCACTCACTTCCCTGGCACTCAGGGTACTTCTAGCCTGGGCCGTACTACCTGCCCACTGTCACTTCCCCACTCCTTCTCTGGACACGCCATGCCTTTGCTCCTGATGGGCCCCTCACCTGATTCAATCCCTGGGTCTATTCAAAGTCTGGACCCAGCTAGCTAGCTCATCCCCTCAGTGAAATCCTGATAACCACGTTTTTGCAAGGTTGCAAACCTGCAAGATCCTGGACGGCAGGACCAAGTCTTCCCCCACATTCCTGACACACTGTCAGATCAAAGGAACAGACCATGCAAACGGAACCTGCCACTTCCACTTCCACTTGCTGGCATCTTGCCTCCAGGACACAAACCCTCTGGGCTCAGCAGCCCTTCAGGTCAAGATTGTTCCTGCCTGTGGGTTTTTCTGAGGCTCTGTCCCCACCCTGCGCAGCCTCTCAAGTGGCTGATCTCTTTAGAGCCTCACCTGAGCCTCCCTTCCTCCCCAGGGTCGCCCACGCCCACATGCCCACACCCCCGCAGCCATCTCTGTCTCCAGCACCCTGGGCTGACATGCATCCAAACCCCTGGAGACCTGGTGAAGGCACAAATACCCACACGCCACCCCAGGGTGTCTGATTCTCAGGCCTGGGGTCCAAGAATCTGCATTTCTAACACCTTTCTAACAGGTGAAGGTGGTATTGCTGGCCCAGGGACCAACCTTTGAGCGCCCTGGCCTGGAGGGACAGACACAGGCTAGAATCCCAAGAGCTGCATCCGGCCCACAGAGATTTCGCACAGAATTCCCAACCTCCATCTTTAAAAAATCAGTATCTCTGTCCACCCTGGCTCTTCCTTCCCATATGGCAGTCACCAAACAGAACAAAGGACCCACTGCTACCCACTCCACCCCCTACAAGCTGCCCCAGCTGCCCTTGTCTGTGTCCCCAGCATGGGGCCTCTGCGGTGGGACCTTGTAGCCAGGGACTGTCTCTGGAAGCACTCTGCACCTCCCCGCCTGGTCAGGGTGGGCCCACGGCTGCCACTGCACCCCGCAACCACAGATGATGTGTCTTCCCCTAAATCAGGCAGCCTTTCTTGAAGTCAGTAGCCCTGGAACCATTTCTAACTATAATCTTTTCCACTGCCTCCACCCAGGTGAGCAGGTGAGGGCAGCATGGCCCCAGCCTCAGGGCTACTCCTTACCTCCACACTCTGCTCCTGTGGGGGTCCCCATGGCCAATGAGACCCTGACCCCAAACAGGAGGCTCTCCTTGATCCCTTCTCCTTCCAGACGTAAGAAACCTAGATCCACAAGGCTGAAGGAAGATGGAGGTGGGTAAGGGGCTTCCTGTCTTGCTCTGGGGGAAGGAGGCACACAAGTGAGGCCTGTCCACCACCCAGCTCTGCAGAGACCAGATCCAAGCCGGCCCTCTCTCAGCCCCTCTGCCCATCCCTGCTCTCCGTCTGCATCTTCTCCCTCTCCCTCCCCTCCCCCCTCCCCTGTGCAAGTCCAAAGATCCTGCTGCCAGGAGCTTTCTCACAGGTACATTCCTGTACATTCTCGCCTCCACTGATGCTCAGTCCCTCCCATCCAGACCTTTGCAACAGCGACTCCTACGGGCACCACTGGCTTGATCTTGCAGAAGCACAGGAGCTCCCAATCGCATCCCCACCCCCAGCTCAAGAACCATCCAGGGCTCCCTATTACCTAGTGCATCATGTACATACTCGTGGCACTCCAGGCCTCAGCAATCTGAGCCCAAACCAGCTCTCCAGCTGGCCTTCCCTCTGTCCCACTGCCAGGCCTTTGCTCACTCTGTCCCCTCTACCTGGAACAGTGTCCTCACAATCCCACATCTACCCATGTGAACACTGCCCCATCTTTGAGACTGTTTCAAGTGGCACCTCTCCCATGCTGTGCCCCACCCCCCATGCTCCTTGTGACCTTGAAGCCTCCAGAACACAGGGTCTGGGTCTTTCTGGCCATTCTGAAATGTCCTGACCCTTTGCCAGACACCCACCAGGGCCAGGGTGGACCCAGCTCCCCTCTGAGTTCCCCACAGGATCAAAACACAACTGCATTCATTCGTCAAGTATTCCAGGGCACATAACTCTATGCCAGGCATGGGGGACAGGGGAACAAGGCAGACAAGGTCCTGTTGTCATGGCAGTGACTTTCCCACAGGCCCGTGGGAGGCACCAGAAAAATGCGTTGAATCTGAGTCAATTAAATTGAATCTTGGAGTCTGAAGGGATTTTGGTCTGGCCTCCTACTCAGCAGGTTTGAGAAGCTTCCAGATCCTTTTTTTTTTTTTTTTTTTAATCCTCATTTCAACTTCCTTTTCTTTTTACCAACACTTCTCTTTCTGCTTTCAATTTTGTTCCCTTTAGGGAGGAAGAGCAGAGGCGGCCTGGCTACACCACCTCCATGTGTCTTGGGGCCCCGACACTCTCACCAAGCCCCCTCCCTGACTGGCCACACCCAGGGCAACTGGAAATGCTCTCTCTGCCCACCTCTGCTCCCACAGTACTTCCAGTGCCAACAAGTCTAAGAAGGTGAGACGCAGCTGCCTACTCCCAGTGCCCGCCCCAACCCTGTGACCACCCTGCTGCCTGTTCCTACCCAGCCTGAGACCTACCCACCCAACCTGACTTTCTGGGAGCCTGGGATCAGCTTGAGACAGGGCAGAGGGCGGGCATCCCAGAGGAGGGCTGCACTAAGCTGGGAAGCATCTCAACTTCTCAAGGCAAGAATGTCCCCGTTGTCATGGTGACAACTGATCCCAGCTCTGGGCCAAGGCCCCCTGGGGCGGTCCTCACAGACTCCCAGTACTCACAGTGCATCCAGCCGTGTCCCCAGGACATGATGATGTGCTGGGTCCCACCGAGAGCAGAGGCAGCCGTCACCGGTGCCGCATCCACAGAGGCCCAAGTGGGGCCTACATGGCCTCGGGTCAGCAAAGGTGGCCACGAAGGGGGAGCTGGGCGTCCGGGCAGGGGACACAGGCAGGTGCTTCTTGGGGCAGCACCGCCCACCCTTATCTCCCGGGCAGTGAGGAGGGCAGCCAGAGGGCAGCAGCTGCCAGTCCCATCGCAGCCCAGGACCAGGTCTGAGACAAGCGGCCCCGGGGTCTTCCTTCTGGAGGAGGCGCAGAGTCCCCGGCAGGCCCCTCGGAATCTGGGGCTGGGATGCGATTTCTTGTCTGCAGCTGCTCAGTGTGAAATCTGGCTCTAGGGAGAGAAAGGAGGAGAGAAAGCGATTATGTAAGACGTGAAGGGAGCTGCCGCACAGCCGTCTCTCAGCTCGCGGGGAGAGCCCACTGTTTATGCAGCGCCCACTGCCTGCCCGGGGCCACGTGCAGCCTGGCTCCTCGGGACGCAGCCTCACGCGTGAGAGATGACTTCAGAACAGCCAGACGGCAGCAATGGCCCAGAAGGGAGTTACGACGACAGCAGATGGGACAGAACAAAAGCAGGAGCCAGACCCCCAAGACTACGGCTCCCAGTTACTCTTCGGGTCTGAAAGCGAACTCACTCCCATGGCTTCCAGCCAAACAGCAGACAGGCATATAGGGTGAACATTTACACCAGGTAGCTACAATCGCGGAAGAACAGAAGGGCAGTGTTTGCACAGGGAGATAACGCAGGGGGCAGGACTGCATAGGAAAAAAGGACACAGGGAATGGGTAACTATAGGGTCCAAGTGGGAAGAGAGCTGTTACATCGTGGGGAATTGCAGTTAATGTCATGAAACAAAATGTGTATGAACTGCTGTATGGAAAATGAATTTGCTCTGTAAACTTTCACCCAAATCACAATAAAAAAAAAATTTTAATGAATTTGCTCTGCAAATTTTCACTCAAATCACAATAAAAATATAATAATAATAATAATAAAGTGTCCAGGAATAAGAGCTGTGAATGAGCTTAAATGAAGGGACGCGTTCTGAAGGAAGTGAGTTCACAGGTAAAGAACATGGTGAAGAGCATGGATGTTAACTGCAAGGCTGGCGGCTGGGACGCAGCCAGTAGCCCCATGGCAGAAAGACCTGGCAACCTGTTCCCGTAAAGACCACTGTGCAGACAACCCCACGAGGCTGCTCTACTCTGTCTTACAGGGTCGCCCGAGGTGGGACTCGCCTCGACGGCACCTACCAACAGCAAAGTCAGTGACTCGGGCTATGGAGCAGGTTAGAAAAGCAGAACCAAACCACCTGCCCTTCCAAGCACCTTCAGGCTTAGTGCCATCTGATTACCCCAATTCCACTCCTCCGTTAACAGAACTCCCAGATAAAAAGTATTGGTACATTTTAGGGTTATTTTATTTTTAGGGAGGCCCAGTTAATTTTTGATTTCGATAAATGACAAATGCTTTCAGTATAATTATGTCACAATCAATTTTTTAATATAAGTGTATGTTAAATATTGCATAGGCCATATTTATACTGAAAAGCAATCCATTATTTATCCACAATTCAAAATGAATCAGGCATCCCGTATTTTTACTTACTAAATCAAACAACCCTATAATTATAATGGAGGTAGCTCTTTCTGAGTGCTCACTACTATACGCTAGGTGCAGGACTAAGGCCTTTGCATTCATTGAATCCTCACAAAAATCTTATTGTTGTTGTTGTTATGTGCCATCGAGTCAGACAAAAAATCTTACGGGACCCTAAAATCTCATTTGATCAATGAGGGAATCAAGGCCCAGAAAGGGTAAGAGAATTGTCCAACATCACACAGCTTGTAGGAAGTACGGCAACAACTGAAACCCAGAGACAACAAAGGTCAACACTACTACACACAATCCTGCATTAATAGTAATAACAAACATCCATCTACGAGTAAACACATAAGTAGACAGGCAAGATAGTCAAGTATGGATAGGCAAACAGGACAACACTCATGACCATACATAGATCTGGCAGACAATATTACTACATATGTGCTTGTATGTGCTGTAAAATGTCCATCTGCATAATAGAGCTAACAGGGGGTAAAGTTATGGAAACTTCTTAGCCATAACCAAACATCTTGAGGGAGTGGGTGGCTCAGCCTGTGGGCTCAAGGACATAGTCTGGGAGGACATCAAAGTCAGTTGGCCTAACACAGTTCACAAAGACATTGTTTTACATCTTTGCATTTACCTGGGGATAAAGTCCAGAAGGCAGATTTTAAAAAAAAAAAAAAGCCAAACTCTCTGCCATGGAGTCAGATCTGACTCATAGCAACCCCTCCTTGGGCTTCCAAGGGCAGTATCTCTACGAAAGTAGATTGCTCAGTCTTCCTTCTGAGGAGTGGCTGAGTGGGTTTGAACCGCCAGCTTTCTTGTTAGCAGTCAAATGCCTTAGGCACTATGGGAAGGCAGAAAGGGATAGGGGAAAAAAAAGACAAAGGGAAATGATAACCACAAGGAGGAAGTGGAAAGAAAATTAAAAAAGAAAAATAAAAACAAGACTTGAAAACCGGCCACTGGAGACCACCCACACAGCCCGTTAAGAGTCCAGAAGCTTTTACCAGCACCCACAGTCATCTCATCGACCTTGCTCTGGACTCTGAGATACAGACGATTGTTCCCATTTCACAGATGAGGTATCTGAGCCTTAGGGAATTTGCATTGGCCAGAAGCGGAGCCAGCTCTGAAATTCAGTCTGTGACTTGGTTCTATTTCATCCCTTGCCCTGTTTCCCTTCTGGATGGGGGAAATGGCCACAGGTAGATGGTATAAGAGGAAAGTAGGTGTGATTTGGGGTTCCTCTCCATTTTGGTATCCAAGGAGTCCCCCACATAATGCACTGGGAGTACTGGCCCTGACCCTCAGAGGTTCCCACACAGGCAGACAAAGCCTCACACAGAGAACTAGAGTGTGTTCTCATTTACTGCTTGTGTGAAGTGACCCCTGAATCGGTCCCTTATCCACACAGGGCAGGAGGGCTCTCAGCCCAGGCCACTGCCTGCTGCTTCTCCTCCTTCTCTCTGAGAGTTTCTTGCTATTACAGCACCACTACAAACACTAATCTAACGGTAACTTTCGATTGTCATTAGCATTTTGTTTTTCTTGGTTTTGTTGTTGTTGTTGGCTTCTTCCACTGAGTGGATTCCGACTCATGAAGACCCCATGTGACAGAGTACAATTGCCCCATGGGGTTCTTTTGGCTGTAATCTTTAGTCCTTCTGTTCTACCTCCTAGATCACTGCATAGTGCCTGGGGTCTTAAAAGTTTGCAAGTGGC